AATGAAAAAATAATCAACATCTCCGGAAAGGCTTGTTTTCGAACAAGACACCATTATTAATGTGAATAACATATATTTCTCGCACCATCGCATTTTGTATCAAAATTGCATACATTTAAAGAAGTCGAGGAAAATAAGAGTAATGGGGGCTAAAACGAAAAAATAATCAGCGTCTCCAAAAAGGCTTGTTTTCGAACACGACACTATTATTTGATGTGGATAACATATATTTCTCGCACCATAGCTTTTCGAAGCAAAATCGTATACATTTAAAGAAGTCGAGGAAAATAAGAGTATATATGGGCAAAAACGAAAAAATCATCAACGTCTCCATAAAGGCTTGTTATCGAAGACGACACCATTATTTGATGTGAATAACATATAATTCTCGAACCATCGCTTTTCGTAACAAAATTGTATACATTTAAAGAAGTCGAGGAAAATAAGAGTATTGGGAGCAAAAATGAAAAAATAATCAACATCTCCGGAAAGGTTTGTTTTCGAACACGGCACCGTTATTTGATGTGAATAACATATATTTCTCGCACTATCGCGTTCCGTAGCAAAATCGTGTACATTTTAAGAAGTCGAGGAAAATAAGAGTAAATAGGGGTAAAAATGAAAAAAATAATCAACGTCTCCGGAAAGGCTTGTTTTCGAACACGGCACCATTATTTTATATGAATAACATATTTTTCTCGTACCATTGCATTTCGTAACAAAATTGTATACATTTAAAGAAGTCGAGGAAAATAAGTGTAAATAGGGGCAAAAACAAAAAAATAATCAACATCTCCGGAATGGCTTATTTTCGAACACGACACCATTATTTGATGTGAATAACATATATTTCTCGCACCATAGAGTTTTAAAGCAAAGTCGTATACATTTAAAGAAGTCGAGGAAAATAAGAGTAAATAGGGAAAAAAACGAAAAAATAATCAATGTCTACGGAAAGGCTTGTTTTCGAACACGACACAATTATTTGATGTGGATAACATATATTTCTCGCACCATCGCGTTTCGAAGAAAATTCATATACATTTAAAGAAGTCAAGGAAAATAAGAGTAAATAGGGAAAAAAACGAAAAAATAATCAACGTCATATATTTCTCGCACCATCGCGTTTCGTAACAAAATTGTATACATTTAAAGAAGTCGAGGAAAATAAGAAAAAATAGGGGCAAAAACAAAAAAATAATCAACGTCTCCGGAAAAGCTTGTTTTTGAACACGAAACCATTATTTGATGTGGATAACATATATTTCTCGCACCATCGCATTTCGAAACAAATTCGTATACATTTAAAGAAGTCGAGGAAAATAAGAGTAATGGGGGCAAAAAATGAAAAAATAATCAACGTCTTTGGAAAGGCTTGTTTTCGAACACGACACCATTATTTGATGTGAATAACATATATTTCTCGCACCATCGCGTTTCGAAACAAAATTGTATGCATTTAAAGAAGTCGAGGAAAATAAGAGTAAATAGGGGAAAAAATGAAAAAATAATCAACATCTCCGCAAAGGCTTGTTTTCGAACACGACACCATTATTAATGTGAATAACATATATTTCTCGCACCATCGCATTTCGTATCAAAATTGCATACATTTAAAGAAGTCGAGGAAAATAAGAGTGATGGGGGCTTAAACGAAAAAATAATCAGCGTCTCCAAAAAGGCTTGTTTTCGAACACGACACTATTATTTGATGTGGATAACATATATTTCTCGCACCATAGCTTTTCGAAGCAAAAT